TTTTTTTTTAATATAATATTCAGATAAAAAGATGAAAGAAATGATATCGAGAAAATATTTACAATTGGTACTTTACACTTTACGAATTTTGTATGCATTCGGAGAGGAGGGTACGAATGAAAGGAATGAAAATTCTGAGATAACATCGAACATTATCCAAAAATACTCTTCCTTTGATAAGGACGAAAGTTTATCTAAAACGGGAGGAGACATTAATACGCCTACGAAAAGTTTCATTCCTGAATATGTTAAGAAATACAAAGAGCTATATTCTTCACCTGAATTTAATAACGATCAAGCCCGAATTCATTTTAATCTATGCGCGGAATCAAATGCGATAGACGGAATAGGTGAGTCTATAAATACATCTGGATCTCTTTTTACATGGTGAGTGCATACCGTGACAACAAAATCGTGTGTCAAGTCATTTAAAAATTAATTTACAGAAATTATATAATTTATTTTAAACTAATACAAATTATTAGATAAAATAAAAGCAATTTAATATATAGAAATCTATTAATAAAAAATATTTCATTTAAAAAGAACATATAAAAGAGAGAAATGATTATTTTTAAAAAAATACAATAATATAGTAATAGTGATAATAATAATAATAAATTAATTTTCAAATATAACATTTTTTTTTCTGCGCAGTACATAATGCATGTTTTTGCAATTTGCGTGTAGAGGTAAATAAAATATGTAAAAAATATTGTATAAACAAATATCGTGAAAAAAAATTAAGGTGTGCCCATATGTTTAAATATAAATTAACAAAAAATAATAAAATATGTATATTTGTTTGAATATTATATATATTAATATATTATATATTAATATTATATATATTATATATATTATATTATTATATCTTATATATTATTATAGTTATAATATAGTATATATTAAATCTATGAACTGTAATATGCGCTATGAAATATTTATTGAATTTATGGAAAAGAAGGAAAAAAATAAAAATAAATTTTTGTAGTTTTAGAGATTGAAGATGTAAAGGAATTGACGGTCAGAGTAGTTGATACAGAAAGTATATCAATTTCTTGGATTGGGCCATGTCCAGCTGTAAAGGATATTCTACTGAATTATACTATTGTAACATACAATGATCAGATCAAAAAATCGAAAAATATAACAAATCAGTCATATTATATAACATATAATGTTACCGAGCTTATTCCATGTACATCTTATACATTTGAGGTATTTGTAGTCGTAGGACATATTAGATCAAATGGTATTAATATAACGCACAAAACGAGTTCTAATCGTGAGTATCGTTGATGATATATATATGTATTTGACGTATTATTAGATATTTAACGATTGATCAATGCACATATTTACATTTACATTTTAGTTACCTATATCGAAAATGTCCAAAATTTATTTATTTCTGAACTTGATAATACTGAAATAAACAATGAGAATAAAACTGGCGTGGAATTGACTTGGGATACTCCTAATAAATATATTAATTGTATTAATTATTACAAAGTTATAAAATGCATTGAAAATAATTGCGATGAAAATAATAAAGAAGTTTACATTACTAACATTACAAAGTATATTGAACAGAGTCTTGATCCTTGCACAAAATATATTTATACTATTAAAATAGTAACTAATTCTACAGAATCAGCTGGAGAAACCAAATCTCACATAACAAGAACAATAAGTAAGATTTTTAAGATTATAAGCTATGAAAAAAATTACATATATATATAAAAATATAAACACTATTGGTATAACTTATCCATAGCACCGGGTGAGCCACAGTCATTGATCGCAGAACCCGATGATCTTGCTTTAAAAATTCATTGGTTACCGCCAATAATTGGAAGACGATGTGTTCAAACATATCGTGTTATAATATCTAACATGGAGTCAACTTTTTATAAAATCTCGGATACCACAAATACATCAATAGTTATAAAGGATTTACATGCTTGTACTTCCTATATGATTCGTGTTATTGCATTTGGTAAAGATTCTTCAAATGGAATGTTAGCTACTACTGAAGGAAGAACAAATAAAAATAGTATGTAACAGTGACATTGAAAATCTATTTATTTAATCAGATTACTAATTATAAGTAATTATATTATTTGTTTTAATTTGTTAGTAACACAATCTCCTGTATTATTTGCATATGAACCTGGGATTTTTAATATATCAATGACATGGAGTATTACAAATGTAGCAAATAATTGTGAACTGGAATCTTTAATAGTTACATGTAATTATGTGAAAACGAATGGACACGGTTACGTACCAAAAGCAGGGAATGTTCAAACAAGCTTGAATAATCATACGATATTGGCAAATATAACAGTAACAGATCTTAGCCCTAATACAACATATTTATGCGAAGCATTTGTTATTAATGAGGCAGGAAACAGTTCATTAAGTGAACCAACAAACATTACAACACTAGAAGATAGTAAATATTTAAAAATACATATATTATTGTGCATAGCAAATACGTGGAATATTACAGTATTAATTCTTTTTAGTATTACCTCCACCTACTATTAACGTAATAAATGTAACAGATACTCAATTTATCTTTACTTTGGAGAAGCCCACATATCTGCCAGAAGTATTGATAGAGTATGAAATAAAATTTACATGGAATAAGTTATCTGAAAGACCAGAATCGTGTACTGATAATATTTCTGGTCTTGTTATCATTAGAAATATTACTGCCACATCATTTGAATATTCAAAAGGAAAACCGTACACTAATTATACTGCAACTGCTAAAGCTAGAACTGCTGCAGGTTGGAGTAATGATAGTAATGTTATAACATTTGTAACAGAACCAGGAAGTATGTTTTATACAATAGTTTTTCTTTTTTATAAATTAAAAATATTATATATTTATGATCTGATTTATTATTACAGTTCCATTAGAACCCAATGAAGAATATATAAAATCAATTACTATAGATGCATATAAAGCACGCAGGTCTACTACATCAGTCACCATTTTACTTCCATTATTTTCTGATGATAATGGTGAAATTAAATATTATGCTATTATGGTTTCAAGAAAGGGATATAATGTTGCTTCAAAAATGAAATTTAATTTGACCCAAAATGGATGGCCAAATGTTTCATCATGGGAGGAATCCATGAAAAATGATTTTTCTATATCTTACCAAGCTACTAGACCAAGATGGCAACCTTTTCGTGAGTAAAATATAAGTAAATAAAAAAAAAAGAAGAAAGAACTTTTCTGCTGGAATATATAATTGATAAGTATTTGTGTATTCATTTTAGCAAATTATATTGCTGACTATGGTCACATAAAAGCAGTAAAATATGTACTTGGTGAAGATACAGCTTGTAAAGAAATATCATCTAATTCAAATGGACGATTATATTGTAATGGACCACTTAAATCAGATACATGGTATGATGTTAGAATGCGTGCATTTACTTCTGGAGGTTTTACGGATTCGCCTACTTTTTTGATAAAAACAAGTTTGTATTAAAACAGATCACGATGAAATAAACTCTATATATGTGTTACATTCATTTTTATTATTCTATCTAAAGAATAATCTTCATTGTAGATGCAGAGTTAGACGTCGGAGCTGTAATTGGAATTGTGCTTGGAATTTTACTTTTGGGTATTTTGACAACTACAATGCTTCTTGTACGAAAATGTTCTCCATATACGTGAGTTCAAACTATTCTTTTTTTTAATTTTATTTTTATTGTTTTTTTATAGAACTTTTTCAATATGAAAATATTATATAGAATTAATTTCTTCAATGTAAAGACATTCAATATACATATAGTTAGTTACATTGGTCAGTTACACATTTGTGAGAAATAATCAATATTTATTCTGTGACTCAGAAGGATGTTATAGCTATAAGAGCCAAGGCCATTGAATGCATTTGTCATATGAATGCAGAGTATATGTCACATATAGTAGTTACAAAAAGTAATGGTTAACCACAAAATCATAATTAGTCATATTATATGTTTATCATTGTTGTATTTAAACTAAAGTAATACAAATAGTGTTACAACTTCATTAAAGTTCAGTCATTATATTTAGTTACGGTTTCCAATTTTTGATGAAGTAAAACATATATTTTTTGAATAAAGTGCGTGTACTAGAATTTGTTATTCTAATTTAAAAAGTATTCTCTCATTACTAAATTTTATTTAAATACAGTTGATCATATGATATCAATAATGATTATTAATTATACTTTGTATCATTGCAATTGAATATATTCTAATAAATTCTGATTAATGATTTGGTTCATTGTGATCAATGACTTGAATTGTGAAAATAAGTTTTAAATTACTAAATATTAGGCAATTTATTTTTATTATTTCAGAATATTTCGTCAGTTTTTAAATGCTGATATGCCTGGATCACCAATACCTACTCCATTTACAAGAAAAAAATTTCTTGCACATTGTCAAGAACTTATTGACAATCCTGGTAAATTAAGTAATGAATTTAGGTTACTTCAAACTTTAAGTGTGGATCTACAAATGCCAACGAATACTGCTTGTTTACAAGCTAATAGAAAAAAAAATCGATATTCTGATATTTTACCATGTATGAATTACATATCACTTAAACATAAAGATTCTATATACAAATCATATTAATTTAATATTCATGTTTACAGATGATTTCTCAAGAGTTAAATTAGAAGTAATTGATAATGATCCTAACACCGATTATATTAATGCCTCATTTATAAAAGTAAGTAAAATATAAAATTATGAATTTACTATACATTACGATACACTATGATAACACATAAATTAAATGATAGGGTTATAGTGGAGAAGATGAATATATAGCTTGTCAAGGACCAAAAGAAGATACAACATATGATTTTTGGAGAATGATTGATCAATATGAAATAAATATTATTGTTATGTTAACTCAATTAGTTGAAAAGGATAAAGTAAGTATTACTTCATATGATAGTAATGAACTGATTATAATTCAGATAAAATATTTATACACACTATTTTTTTAGGTAAAGTGTCATCAATATTATCCAATAATTAGAGAAACTTTTGGATATGAAAATATAACAATACGATGTACAAGCGAATTAGATTTTAGAACATACACTCAAAGGACATTGATATTGCAAAAGGTTTCTATTTAGTATAAAATATTTTTATTATATTTTTGCTATAAGTTATATTTTAATGTTGTTACTTTTATAGGAAAATAAAAAGAAAACGATAACACATTTTCATTTTAAAGAATGGCCAGACCATGACGTTCCAGAGGATTTTGATTCAATGATCAATTTTTGTCAAATTTTGCGTCGTAATATTGGCACTAATAAAGGTTTTGTTGTTGTCCATTGCAGGTATTACAATATACTGTTATTAGAGAACAACATTATTTTTTTTTTTAATAATAAATTACAAAAATAATGTGTTAATGATGTAAATATATTTTTCTAGTGCAGGAATTGGTAGAACAGGTACTCTCATAGCAATTGATATTCTTTTACAATATCTTAGAGATAATAGAAAACTAGATGTGTTTGGAACTGTCTATAGATTAAGACATCATAGAATAAACATGGTTCAACGAGAGGTATGCAATAGAATTAAAAATTATAGAAAAGGTCATTATATATGCAACAGATTAATTACTCTGATAACACGTTTTTTTTATTATTCTAGAGCCAATATACCTACATATATAACTGTTTAATGCAGGTTCTTAAAAATCCATATTTTTTAAAGACGTGTAAGTTCTTCAACAATAATAATAAATAATTAGATTTCTTGACAAAATAAAAATAACATTAAGCTTATTTATAATACAGATAAGCCACCTCCTGTGGATCCAGTGCATGATAACAATTCTAAAAGTGCAAGTGAAACAATGAACTCAGATGGCAGCCATAAAGTAAATCTTGAAACATGTATGTGACTTTTTCACATAAATTGCACTGATTTTGTTTGTTATTATTAAATTATTATTTAGATAAAACTGATTATAAATACTACTAAAAAAAAGTAAACTTTTCACTATTTTTTTTAATACTGATAAAATGAATCTTATTTAGGAGCAATATTTACTCTATTTTCAAATGTCAACAAATATATGATCAAATATGTGCCTTGTCAATGTCTGACTCAATGAACGTAAAATTGAACAAAAGATTTACCTAATGAATTTTATAAACTGAACATGAATTCTATACAACTCCAAAAGATAAATTTGTACAAAGTTAAATTTTTACAAACCAAAGTAAGCAACTTAATCTAGAGTAATCTTGAATAGATTTTAATTCATTTTAATTGAATAATGGTGCATATTATTTTTTTTACAGAACAATATAATAATGAAACTAAAAGAGACGATAAAATATAATGAGAATAGCAAACATGGTAAAATTACTTTTATTCTCTTTAGTTAACTCTTTAATGTATATACTTATTGTGTGAACTAGCCATTAATAATAATTTATAATGTTAAATATAATTGTAAAATATTTTATCACGTATGAAGACTTTAAGCAAATACTTTAAATTTCCCAAACAACAAATAAGTGTACGCCGTGGCGCCTTGGGGAACCACGGCTTTTTCACAAAGTGCCTCGAAATATTAGAAAGTATTCGTATAATTTTATTTCTATTTCCAATTCTGTGATAAAATGCAAAATTTAGCAGGCTTGATGTAAACCATTAACTCATTTAATAATAACTGTTTGCAGAAACCTTCACAAATAAAACATTTTTATGTATTTTTAGTCAATCTAATAAAAAGAACTTCTAATTTTTTTGTAAGACAAACTTGTTAGAATTTGACATGGAGTACCTTAAAAAAATTTGAATTCAGCAAGGTCGCCGAAAATAGAAAAAGTTTACAAATCTCTGCTTAAAGTAATTAATAGCATATAATTGTAATCATGATATTATATAAGCGTAAAATTATTAAAAAATATATTTATAGATTTTTATTGTTATTAGACAAAATATTATAAAAATGTAATATAAGAAATATATACATATATATTTCTCTATATGTAACTTTTTTATCATTTATATATATTTACCATTATGAAAATTATTTATATACAAACAGTACTGTGTAGTACACTTAATTAGTTTAACATTTTAATGTAAAATAATACTTTCTGCATTTAAAATAAATAAATTTATTAGATAAATTAATATCGATATTTTGTAGAATAATCTTTTGGTGAAACAACCAAACCACGTCCTTTCCTCGCACCTCTATAAACTGTTTCAATAATATCTATCATTTCTTGTTTATCTTCAAGTGTCCAATTAATTTTGTTATTATTTCCTGTACCTAGATCAATCATTATATGTTTATTTCTAAAGAAAAACATAACAGTGCAAGGATCATATAACTCATACCTAAAAAATGATTTATAACAATTATGTCTAATATCTTTTTTATGGTTGCCTCAGTATAATTGCTCAAATAAAAATGACATCAACATTATTCATTAAGTAAACTTACATTTTGTTGAAATCAGGAACTTCTGTGATATCTACTAAATAAATTACCGCAAAATTTTTAACTTTCTCTGCGATGTTATAAAGAACTTCATCCATTTTCATGCATGTTGGATCCCAATCATGACCAAACCTTATAACCTAATCAAAATATCACCAAAGAAAATTTAAATCAAAATAATAAAATGACAACTTTATATGAATATTTTATCGACAATGTTCAATTATTAATTATAAACTTGATTATTTGAATAATATGTTTAAAACTTACAACTACTCGATCTTCTTCTGATAAAATGGCTTGATCAACTTGCCATCCATTATGAAGATGTGATAACATATAAGACATTTTGTTGTATTTTTAAAATAATACTTAAGTTATAATAAAATTATACACATGCAATATATCTTTTACAAATTTGATATTATGCGATAGAACAGGAAAAACACAAGTCCCTTAATATTCTACAACACATTCTTCTACAAATTGTTTAAGACTACGTTATTTCGATTTTCTACCACGATTGGTATTACTGTTTCTTATTGATTTGTTTCTGTCGGTAAGGTAGAGTTACCATTGTATGGACAAAACATAAATAAGTAAATGTTAATATAATAAATTTTTTTTCTTATCCAAAATTTTTCTAATATTATTACTAAGTTTAATCTTAGGGATATTTTTTTGGACAGGTTTAAATTAGATGAACAATCTATTTATCAGTTGAACGTTTCGTCCCTATATTTGGGACTTCCTCAGCAACTCGATCGTTATTGTTCACGAGTCAATATATCATCATTTCTCATTACAGTCATAAGTATTCACTATCTTATATATACAGTCAATTTTAAACCGTTATCCTACCACTTGATTGTATGATTAATATAGTTTTCTTCTTGTTATAGGTGATCATCGTTGCATTTAACAACATATCTTTGAGATTTTTTTCTACTGGAACACCTTAAATGACTACTTTTTAAAATATATGTATAAATGCATTTCTGAAGGCTCACACATGTTTATGTTTTTAATTGATAGTATTGTATCGTCATAACTACATTCTTTGATAGTATTGTACCGTCATCGCGTTAAGTACCTACTATTACCCCCCCCCCCTTCTGGTGTTCAGTACAGAAGTTTACTTATTTATGTTTTGTCCATACGATGGTAACTCTACCTTACCGACGAGTTCAAATTTATTATTTTATATATTAGTCTAACTTCTGACGTGATTATTCATTGTCAGTGGAAATCCCACATAATAGGTTATGATTAGTGACGGAATGCTGAAGTGGAATTTTGTTGGTTATTACGTATGTCGTCTGTTGAAAGATTTTGTTATTACTGTACTTTTTTGCGTAGATAAATATATTTTATTACTATGACTTCGTTAAAAAATACTGTTAAATATATTTATCAATTGCCAGCATTAGAAAGATTTGAAATCTGTAAAATATTAGATCAAGACGATCAATGGGAAGAACTGGCAGGTAATTATCTATTAGAAAAAGTTAAAAATATAAGGTTCTTTCTACTTTTGCATTACAATTTTGAGAATAACATTATCTAGTATTTTTTCCTGTTACAATTTTTTAGGTAAATGGATGCAATATGATGTATCCATTATTTGCAGTTTACGAAAACTAAAAAGTCCTACGAATGAGTTATTAAATAATTGGGGCCTTCAAAATCATACCATTTTGGAACTATATATTTTATTATTAAAAATGAAACATTACAAAACTATGATTTTTTTAAAGCCATTTGTTGATACAAAATTTCATTGCTTATTAAATAAAAACAATGATAATCGTTCAAAGATATCTAATAATCAACAAGTGACTGAAGATATCAAGGATTTAAAGATCGGTATACAAAATTTTAATCAAAGGATTTCTCCGAGACCAGATGCTAGAAAAATAATTGTAGATGAAAATACCAAACAAGCATCTTATAAAATAATAAATCAATCTTTGGATAATCTACAATCTGTAGATGTATCGAGTAACACAAATAATTTACTTGTGCCTTCTTTAGCAAATCGTTTATTATCTCTAAAACAAAATAAAACTAATTCTAAAAAATCTCAATTACCTATATTGAAGCCTGAAGCAACTTTACCATGTGTACCATATAGTGAACTTGAAAGTGCTACAAATAGTTGGTCAAAACATAATATATTAGGAAAAGGAGGTTTTGGAGTAGTTTATAGAGGTAATTTATTCGTTGTAATATTTACTTTACTGTTACATATTAATATCACAAGTAAAAATTGAAACTTTTATAGGTACATGGAAAAACACAAATGTAGCTATTAAAAGGCTCGAATACAAAAAGTCTAATTCTGATGAAAGCTATTTAATTCAACTTAAGCAATCACTTAAAGAAATAGAAATATTGAATTCTTATCCACATGAAAATATTTTGTCATTATATGCTTACTGCTTAGACGGTCAAATACCTTGTCTTGTGTATCAATTGATGCAAAATGGTTCCTTGGAAGATAATTTACTCCTAAAAAATAAAAGTCGGCCGCTCTCTTGGCTGCAACGTCATGAAATTGCAAAAGGTACTGCACGTGGATTACAATATCTGCATACTATTGGAGAAAAACCTTTAATTCACGGTGATATCAAGAGCGCAAATATTTTACTAAATAATAATTATGAACCTAAAATTGGAGATTTTGGTTTGGCGAAAGAGGGTGAAAAAAATTTTATGATGGTAATATATTAATAAATTAGCTAATGTAAAATATTAAATAAGTATTAATCCTTTTGCGACCGCGAAAGGATTAATTAAATAATTTAAAATAAACATTTTAATAATTTCATTGAAAATTTTAATTATATTTTTTCTTTTGTTAGGTGAGTAGAATTCATGGTACGAGACCATACTTGCCAGATGATTTTATATATAAAAAGCAATTATCTATAAAAATAGATACCTATAGTTATGGAATTGTATTGTTTGAATTAGCTACTGGACTTCAAGCTTATGATAATAATAGACCAAAAAATAAATTTTTAAAAGAATTTATAGATCATTTCGAAGATCAAAATCTTCATTTATTAATTGATAAGAAAGCAGGAGAAGAAGATAAACAAGTGTATAGCAACTTTATAGTATTAGGAAAATGGTGTTCCAATCGACTTGCTCAAGACAGGCCTGAAATGGAATTAGTGTTTCGTAAACTAGATGGTTTATAATATTGTTATAGACTTTCATTGCTGATAATAAGATTCAATTGGTATTACACTTGTTTATACTAGTATCTAAGTATTAATAATACTTAGGTATTAAGTATATATTTTATAATTATTGGTGTAGCAATTAATTCGATGCCTTGATATTAAATTCATTGCATCAAAATCGTAATTTTTTTTGACAAGAAATTGGGTAATTGTCTGAAAGATGGATCAAAATCATCGAGAATAATGGAGATTATTTTGAAGAATAACAGATGTATGATTACTTTATAAATAATTACTAAATTTGTTAAAAAGACATCAAATTAATTCCTACACCTAAAATTAACTGTAAAAAGATGTTTAGTTATATGATCTAAATAATGCAAATGGAAAGTGATATATGTATAATTTTTATATATAAAACAAAAGTAAATTATATTTTGTATTATTAACCCTTTCGCTGCGAACAGTGCCTTTAGACGCTAAACTATAGACGCTTCTCCTAGGTGAACAGCGCCTATAGACGCCGTGCATTTTTTTGCATTTGTTACTATTAATAACTGCAAAATAATGGCTATTAATTCGTTTGTCTTCGACGCGTTAGCTGCACTCCGCAGCGAAAGGGTTAAATATTTAATATCTATAAAATCTATAAGATATTTAATATATAAAATATTAAAATTAATTTGTGACAATTTCTTACACAATTGGACAATATATTAAACATATAATTTATTAAATATAATTTAATGATGGTTAAAATAATTATAAATTAATAATGATCTAAATCCTATACAATCTTATTCTTTTTTCTAGCATTGCTGTTCTTGTTTTTACAATAATTTATTTACATATTTTATATTTTTTGGATATTATTTATTAAAGTAATTTTAGTTAGGATGAAAGGGTTCTTTTAGTAAAGGATGAAAGAGGGATGCAAATGTTGATGAATGGATTTAAAGAGTACATGAGAGAGAAAGACAGATACAGATTACAGGTGAGAAAGAGAAAACAATTCCTTGGTTATTGCATGTGAGAATAATAATAATAATAATAATAATAATAATAATAATAATAATAATAATAATAATAATAATAATAATAATAATAATAATAATAGTAATAATAATATAAAAAGTAAAAATAATAGCATTATTTTGTGCTATAAAATTATTTATACATAATTTTGGTACTAGACTCAGAATTAGTGCTATTTAATCCTTTAACTAGAGATGGACTAGTTAATTCTTCTTGTTACTTTGAAAATGATGCAAGTAAATTTAAACTCGATAAATTATTTGTTTTTTGTTTATTGAAGAATGTATGTAGTATATTTAGATCTCTATTCTTTATATTTGAATATAATTTTCTTATAAAAAATGAGTTTTAGCATCTTTTTTTACAAAAAAAGTACTGTATAATATATACATACATACATACATAAAATAAGCAGAAATTTGTAATCTCTCTGATCCATTATATAAAATAATTTAGATTATGCAATTTTTATCAGATTTTATCACATTTAAATTACATTTCATCTTATTTTCTTAGTTCCTGTTATGAAAATTTTAATTATCTAGGAAGTGATAACATACATTTGTATTTGTTATCTTCGATTAACTACATAAGTTCGATTTTGATTTTATATTTTGTATATTTGGTAAAATATGAATAGTCGTATTTTGATCATATTTTAAAGGTATCCTTAAATCCGCACTATCACTACTGATGAACTCAGATTGTTGATGTCGATGCTGATTAAATACCCAAATAGATGATACTAGCGATAAAGTTATCAGTGTTATGCCACTAATTATTAATAAATACATTACCATAGTTTGTATGACAGGCAATACAATAAGAATCAATCTTAGCAGAAATAACAAATCACTTGACAGAGATGCAGTCGTCTGTGAATAACATAATTTAAAAAATTAATATATATAGTTCTGGATGGAATGAAGTGGACAGAGCATAAATTTGAAATAATCTTTAGTTTCATTTACTATGTAGAGTACGTTAACAACGTTTGTACGAAAACATCTCTGTGTCACCGTGTATGTATTAAAAATAATTTATAATGTAAATTGTATATGTAGATTGTAAAACTTACCAAATCGGACCAAAACAATGGTATCGTTATATTGTTAAATGGTTTGGTTTTAGGATTATACTGCGTGTAATGCATCACAAGATTCGTTTGTATTCTTGAATTTATTCCTACCACCATACCTATGTCCTACAAAAATAAAATAATTGAAATTTGTAAGTATTTTCATAGACCAAGAAAAGAAGATACAGTATTAAATACGACGAAGTGTTTTCAACGGATATTAAAGACACAAGAGTCATATGTTAACTACTATAACTTACAGGTTGAATTACAATCCGTGTAGCGTGTTTTTCTGGATTTGGATGAAGACCTTCCACATCGTCTAATAAACTTGGATCACCGTTAAGGAAATGTGGTAAAGATACGGCTGATGGGATATCTGATAAAAAAAGAAAATTTAATTTAGGATATTTAAAATTATTTTTTAGAATTAAAATAGAAAAAAAAGTAATTATTTAAGATACATACTATAATAACATGCCGTCAAGTCAGACAATCCTTTTCTATAACATTTTTTCAATTTGCGACAGTAACATTCATTGTCAGGATTTTTGTCTGGAGGATCTAAAAAATCATCCGACATTTTATAAACATAAGTCGGAATATCTCCATCAATGAAAATATCTTCCTTAAATACTATTGGTAACGTTCTGCAAAAAGATTTTCGAAAAACTCGAAAGACAGCACGTTTGTCTATATTTGGTGGAAACACTCCTCCTTCTGAAGCACCACGAATACTATTACACAATGTATTTCTGTAAATCAAACGTACGTATTGCTGTAAATATTTAAGTTATACATTATTTCATATATCTGCTGATTCAATAATTGTTACGATTTCAAATACAATTGTTATTTTTTGTTCTATGGAATTTGCGATAAAAATATGATATTTTCATTTAAAATTTATTTTTAATTTCAACTAAAAAAAGACTTATTGAATCACCAGTCATTTTCAAATATTCAAATATTATTATTTCATGCGCGAAATTCATGAACATCTATCTTAGAAATAATACAAATTTAATTCATACATTTTTCTGCAAGATTAATTAATATTTTATTATAAAATATAAATAGTTTTCCGTATCTTATATTCTTCAAAGATAATCGTAAACCTTTGTATAACAATGAGAAATTGCATAAACAATTATTTTTTATCAATTATTACTATTCACGCAAACTTACTCCGGATAAGTTTTGTTTTTTGTCTCCTCACGATATCCCCATTGAGACAATCCGGGACTTCCATTATAGGTTTGAATACTGAAGTAACGTCCATTTTCGTCCCTCATATCATCGTTTTTACGAATATTTATATTTATGATGTTTTTACCCTCGTCATACATCTATACAAAAACATTTATTTTTATTGGCATATATTCAATATGGAAGAACTGATTTTAAAAGCCTACTAAACGTAGAGATTTTTTTTCAATGAAATTTGCGTTAAAAAATGACAAAACGAATAGATTATCGCGCGTTAATAATAAATTTTGTAAAAGTTTAAATGCTTTGAAGTTACAGTAAAAAATATTTAAAATATTAATTCGTTAAAATTTTAAATTATACACATACCCTATCAAGGAGACCTAATTTTCTAAATTGAAGGTAAGCCGGTAATATTCCTGCCGCTAATTTTACTAAATTATCTTCGTAACCCCATAAAAAATCATAAGCCGTGATATTCAGTATGGGTTCACTACCGATCATATTAGTCAATTGCGTCATAAGATAATTAATAAAAAATCCGGCATCGGATAACGCAGACGCTATGCCCTGAAACGTAAATTGGTCTATGTAAGTATATATATATAATAACATACTTGCATGTATATAATGATTCCCCAAAATATTAAGGTACTAAATATGCCTAACTTAAGGTTTTTATATTTTAGTTAGTTATAAACTAATAATTCTGGTTTGTACTTTTCATACAGATTTTTTATAGTTAATATGATAATATAATATATTATTAATAATTAATAATATATTATTGGTTTTATCGCTTACCAACATTGCAATATTTGGTATGTTAACAAAATCCTCCTTGGGATCGCTCTTTGATAATTCTGGTACGAAGAATACAGTCCTTCTTGGAGTATAAGTTATAGTGCCGTTGTCGTTAAACGTTACATTTGTTTGTTCTAAGAATTCTCTACGATCAATCAATAAATAAGTATACGTTAGAATGCAAATAAAATATGTAAATGTAAGATGTAAATATTAAGTAAAATTTATATAATATATAAACCGATGATTGTAAAAATGATCTAACACATAAGACATTTGAAATATTTAAAAAATGTATTTTGTCTCTCACGCATTATTCTCTTCCAATTTTAAGATTACATAAATGAAATATTTTTTTTTTTAAATATATTTACATAATTTAAACAGTTCTTGTCTTTTTGTAAATTAATAGAAACATCATCTTTGTATAATTAAAATTCAAGTATACTTACTGATATACATAAGGCCCAACTTCCTCGAGTTTAAGTTTCTCCGTACCTTTTGAAAACTCAACGGGATTGGTGATGTTGAAAATATATACTTTATGGAATATATCGATGGGAGGCTTTTTCCATAACGAGAAAATGAATGAGTTTGGTTTCATATCTAAATTCTAGAGAAAGAAACAAATATTTTTTTTTTTTTAAAAGGGAGTTTTTTTTATATATCAAAATATATGGATGTGAACTTCTTTTATTGTACTTACGTAATCTAGTATCATTTTAAGAGGATTGACGATATAGATTGTATAACTCAATACGCTGCAAACCATGCCGACTATAAATAGAATGATGCATTCTGAAAAATAAAATAATTTTTGTTTAAAACCTTCCGCGTTTTCTTATATCTGTTTTAACGTTAATCTTTATTCGAAATACACCTATGTATTGGATTGACCAATAAGTAATGTCAAAATATTTAGTATAAAAAATGCTAATTTTATTTATGTATATTTTACCGTTATATTGTATGCTTTAGTTAAATCGTGAAAATTCTTGATCTTACATGAAATAACTAGGCATTTTTAAAAGAAAGCATATAAGAGGAATTTTATTATTCATTTAAACTAGTTGTTTTAGAAAATAATTTGGTTATAGGGTCTTAAAAATAAAATTTGAAATATCTCATAAGATATTAATTTTGTTATTCAGAATTAATATTATATTTAAATAAATCACTTATTTCTCATTTTTCAAGTTTCATATTAAAATAATTTCTAGCAAATATTCATATATTCATCGTCGGTCAACAAAAGTAATCGTTTGTAGGAGTGTATCTAATAGTTAGCATGGAAATTGTATCAATGATTACAAAATAAATATATAATCACAGCCTTGTAAGAAAAAAATGAATGAATAATATTGAAATATGTGTTGTAGAAAAAATTAATCTGTGAGTAATTATACATTTCAATATAAACAGGAAAGTAAATAATGTATATTCTAATTTATTTTGAAATAAGGTGACGTAAACTTAGGAGTGGATGAAATGTAACATTATGTACATGTATAAATATATTCATAAGTTACTCATTGGTATATATATAAAAATTGAATAAATTTTTATACATTTCTTAACTGTGAATTGTTGTCTTCTGCGAACGAGATATAAATGATATAATAATATTATATAATTACATTTATTAATATATAAATACATATTAACTAATGTAAATCTTAAATTTAATTGTTCCGCTAAAAACTATTGTTTTTTTTAATACTTATCCACTTATTTTTGTCTCCGATTGTATATGTGTATATATACCATACCAGTTTTTATTTGCTGCTATGGACTGTTTTTATTTCTTATAAGAATGCAAATTTTTTCAATAAAAAGTGTTATTTGTCTAGTATATTTTTATTAAAAATAATCTCTATTTAATAATCATATTATACGATAATTTTCAATAATTATAAATATGCTGAGTGAAAAAAAATGTAACAAATGTAACCAACTAATTATGTTAGTAATAAAATATAATTTTTTGTTAATGTCGATAGAAAATGAAACATCTAACGATTATTTTTTTATGATCTTAATTACATCACGTATCAAGTCTTATGTCAGTATTTTATCGACATTAATTATATTTTATAATTTTAGTTTTTATACACTATTAACATATGTATAAAAAATTAATTAATTTACAAATTATTCGAGTTACTTTTTCGTACTGTATCTGTGATCAATGGTAAATAAATAGACTTTAAAGTTTTATGAAATATCTCAGTAAAAATGTAATAACAAACCGTCCGCTTGATCATTCGAGAATATTAAACTAAACGTGATTTGTAATTAAGAGTAAGAGACGGGATTTATTCAATGAGAATCGATTAATAGAGATCTAAAATATAAGAAGAAAAAAAAAAGAAACTGAAAAAGTCAAATCGAGTACAACTTTCCGAACTTTATTTCTTATATAAAACTTTCTAACTTTCATTTTAGAGAATGTCGTTTTATGTAATTATTATTAGCGTTTATGTAATTATCCTGTTGAGTATCTTGAACTAAAAAAAATGATAACGGATGGATTTTCCTTTTTGATTCTTTTTTAATTGTGATAATATTTATCGAAGAAATTGAAAGTTAAAATAAAACTATTATGTGTTCACATTTACGCTCAACGATTAGTTCAATCAGACGAAATAGAAACTAAAGACGATATTGCAAAGTTTTAATATTAGATGGTATATGTGTGTGGGTGTGTGTGTCAGAATAATGCAAAGTAGTAATGCAAATTAAAGAATAATGCAAAATACATTTTGTTTAAACAAATGATTGTTAATTAATCGAAAAATGTATATTATTGTATAAAATTACGGAGTAAATTATACAATCGATATATTAATCCGATCGATATATAATCGATAATTATAAACCGTCCTCTTCGAAATCTTTTGTTAGACTGGCATTGTTGTCCTTCATGAAAGAAAGTTAAAATTTTTTTCATTTATCATTGTTTTTATACCTTCCCAAAGGTTGCGCATGTGTATAATGAGAATAATATTCCTAATAAATAGAATTTCCTTTTACGCAAAGTCATATAAACAACATTGAATAAAAGAACTTTCATATAGTACAACGGAGCCAGTCTAACGAGGAATTTCGAAGAGGACGGTACATCGAAAGGTAAATCCACGTTTTGAGATTAAAATATACACTTTTTTTGATTAATTAACAATTATTTAAGGAATATCTAATACACAGTACTGTACTCTACTAATATTTAGTATTGTTTAAACTAAGATAAATCTTTTTCTTTTCAGTAAATAAGCAATAAGAAGTTGCAACATTATTCGTACCTCTCACTATTTTTCCTATAAAAAAACTCATTTGAGATCTTAACCCGAAAAAAAATGTTTAACATCTAATCTTGTTTCAACCAAAACTTCTACATCTGCAATAATCACATGTTCTGCAACGCATGTTCCTGAAACATCATCTTCTACTACTAGAAATACTGCCAAAAAAGGATTCTAAAGATAATATTTCAATCAACTTCAATCAAATATCTTTTTTTATTCTTCAATCAAATTATCCTCTTGTCCAGAATGTATAAATAATTACCAAAAACAAAAATTGAAATTAATTTAAATGTGAATATGTGCATTATTGCGATTTATGGTGCAAAAATTATCATATTATACATGCAAATATAAATATTACTTATTAATATATTAAATATAAGATGATATTGTGTTAGTACACAATTAAATCATTGCACTTTGATGCACATCTTATTGACGCTCATTTAAAAACGAGGCTTTGTTACATTTATTTCTTTGTCGATGAGATTAAAATCATAAAAAATATGCCATAAAATTAAGGATTAATATATTTGGATTATATTAATTTATACGATAATAATTCACTCGTTAAATTTTATGTAGTGTTGCGACCCGATCTAAGTTTAAGCGACTTGATTTTCATGGTGGGAAACTTCATAAAGAACTTGACAAGCAGGTGTGTTAAGAGAGATCGCGAAATTATTCAAAAGAAAACACGCTTATTATATTGTCGCTGCCGTTTTATTTATAATTTTCTTTGTTTCTTTTTATCTCGTATCACGGAATGTTAAACAAGTATGCTCATCTATTGTCAATATTAATTACTTTGTGTACCTTCTTTTCTTTTCTTTCTAAATAATTTGAAACACTAATATAGTACTATTTTAAATTGCATGTGTAAAATGCACTCCTTTTATTTATAGTCATCTAATAAAAAAAATCTGTATAAATTAAAAATGAAATCTAAACGTTCAAGAACATAGAGAAATTTTAAGTATTGTACATCAGTATATATTTTATATACGCGGTCTTGATTGTTTGATTAAGCTTATTAATAAAATATTTACTCACTTCTAAATTGTTGAAAAGGTACCGTCGATTTCATGGGTGGAATTGACACTTCACGGATTCTTCTTAATTTATCCACTTTGACTCTAAAACCTAGCAAAAATTATAATAGCAATTAAAATATATTTATAATTATAATAGAATAATTCATTACTATATAGATATATAATATCATCTTACATTTCATATAGATATACAGTGCGAGTCATTATAACATCATATGATATGCGATTTCTTTTTTATTAATTATAATATATAATATTAAACAGAGAAATATATGAAATGCTGATGTGAATCACTCCATATAAAAATATATAGTATAATGCAATATACAATAAAATAAACATGAAGCAAAAATATTTATAATATTTAAAAAATATAATTTTCTAACGAATAGCTTTGATAATAATACCGATTTTTCTAATTACCGGTATTTGGAAAAATAAAGGATAATAAAAGAGGATGTAAGTTTCATAAAAAAATTAAACAAGATGATAGAAAATTGTATGTATAGGTAACGCCATGTATGCACATGAATATACAAAGTTCTAAGACATGTTTACCATAATTCTTAACACTTTATTTTTTCTTGACACAACGTTCAGAGTTCTTTTTTTTTGCGTCTGAAATGCATACGCTTTTTCTATTATGGCATTAATGTTTTTTTCTTCTTACGCATGAATATCTCAGAACGACACGTCAATGATATACATATCTACTGTGGATTTCATTTTAACTTACAAGAACATAGAGTCTTTTTTTATTGATATTTTTGAATACGCATAAAATATACGCATACATATTTATAAAAAAGATTTTCATATGTTGAATCTCTTGAGATCCATTTTTTCCCATTCTCAAAACGTGATCAGCATTTCTGTTCAAAAAACCTCAATGAAAAAACTCATTTGCAAGTGATAAGTTAATGTTTTGATAATTTGTTGAAATTTTTTTCTAATGTCGTATTTTTTTTCAAATATTTTCTTTAGAAAGTAAACAAAATCACATATTAGCATGAATGCAACTTTGTTCTAAGATTTTTTCTCCTAAGGGGAAAAACTAGTATTAATTATTCTTTTTTTTTCCTGAATCTTTTTGATTCATTCCTTTAAAAATCAAATTTCCATAATAAGACTACTAACTATTAATATAAAGAAAAACTGGAACGAAAGACTCTTATCGTGTTCTTTTAAATATGCATTTTGACACATTGTATCCTATTGCACATTATATTTTCAAAACATTTCTGTATTGAACGTACATATAATAAACGGGATAATAAAGTTTGCAAATTATCAGTTCCATTGATGCACTGCTTTACTGATGTTAATGCACTTTTTTTAAACATTTTTTCGAAACTATCGAGAATGGCATACATTTAAACAAAAATTTTACAACATGACAACATTGAATCGAAAGGAGTCATCTAAAAAAAGTATTATAGCCGACAATTGAACGTAGAATAACCCACATAGACTTGTGTATAATGCAGTAAATTAGTATAACACAATATATACTACCAATGATCAATCACTGACACATAAATTAGTAACTATCTAGTTGACTATTAATTAAGTCTAAATATATTCATGTTAAAACAATAGATCTTATTCTTGTTAACCCTTTTTATTTACAACTCGTATGATATAAAATTTATTTGTTACTTGATGTTTGATTCATATATGGAATTGTTTTCGCAGTAAGAATCAAACGTCGAGGTCAACGTCTTATCCCGTGTTCCGAAGAAAAATATTGTGTATCCATTAATTAGTTTATAGATAATACAATCATTCTTTGTTAGTATATTTATAGATATTATACCTATATGTAGAAAAAGGCAAACTGATTAACTAATTGAAATTAAGTAGCTAAAAGAAAACGGGTACGAGTAACATCTTTTTAAGATTTGAGATAAGTGCATAAATAAAAATTAGACAATGTTTAGTTTGCACTTACTTATAAGAACTTATAATTTATTTGAACTTTTGTGAGGTTTTCTTTCTATCACTTTTTTTTTCTTTTTTTTTCATTCGATTTACTTCCGATTATTCAATCTCTTTTTTGAACCATGTTTCATTAATTATTATACATTTTTATTTTTAAGGAAAACTAAAACAAGAAATTTAGCAACTGAAATAGCTAAACTTTATGTTATAGTTGAAATAATAAGGAATGCAATTGCAAAAATTAATTAAGATATCCACAAGAAATTCGCCATGTCATAAACAACATACTACAGAGATATAAAACTTGTATTCGCGTAAGCGGGTCACATTTTTGACAGCACATGTAAACAATTCTATAATGTATGTTATAATTTTATTATATTGCTTTTCTTATCTATAATTCTATATCCCTATTTGTTATAAATACCTTTTCGATATTTTTTTCTTTTTTTCTAAATATTTCCAATACTTCATAGCTTGAGGCTTACTCTGTTCGAAAATTTTTCCCTATTCGCTCTAATCTTTCCAATATAATTCATTTAACTGTTTTCTTCGTAATTTCTTACACTTTACTAATTTCTTACTCTCGTTTTTTCTTATCTTCTCTTCTCTTCGTATTTTTTTTGTTTATTGCAACCATACTCAATCTGACTTGCAAATGCAAGTCTGTCGGTTCGAAACGTACTATAATAAATTTCTTTTTTTCTTTTTTTACTAGCAAAAATTTACTGATAACCATTTGTCCCCTCCCCCTCGACTGTCCTAAAACCCCTCGCCGTCGAAAGCAATTACTTTTAAAAATAATACCAAAGATCGCATCAATTTTAATTAATGCACCTATTGTGCATTATTACATTATCCATATTTAAATAAATCCAATGAGCCAGATAGTAAAGAATATAAATTAATGTTCATTTTTTTATTAAATTTGAAAATACCCGTTTATTATTGCTAGATCTAGAACACGAAAAACTGTGAAATAATCATTAAACAATTGGAATGAATAAAAATAAATATTACCACTCACCAAGAAGAAGTGCAAAATATTTCCCTCGATAATAAATCAAACGGATGACAACAAATTGATCGAAATAAAAAGTAAACACACTATGATAATAACTTGCTTTAACAACAATCTTTCGAAGCTAGTTTTTAAAGACATAAATCAAATTTTGTTATATTATTTTTTGTAATAATGTATAATCACAAATGTCTCATTACAAGCACGTTTGTCTCTCTCTCTTTCACTCTCTTTCTTTATCTCTCTTTCTCTCTCTCTTTCTTTCTCTCTCTCTTCCTCTCTTCCTCTGTTTTCCTCTTCTCTTGATACCAGTGCGTACAAATCCGATGTGCACTCTGCTTTATACTGTCTCTCGTTCATAAACCCCCCCCGACAATGACAACGATGACGATGACGACGACGACGACGACGAAGACGAAGACGATGACGCGAAAAAATATAAAAAAAAAACGAATTATAAGGTGACGATATATATTTTTTCTATTTGTATTTAATAATGAGGTTGCTTCGAAAAAGAAATATAATAAATTACGAAGATCGATTTAAATCACGAAAAGAATATTGTTAATATCGTATTAATTAATGTAAACGTTAAAAATTAATTATTAAAAATTTCTGTAAAGAAAATTATTTTCTTCTTTTTTAAATATATGATGTATTAGTAATGACATTTAAAAAAAAGAAAAAATGAAAACACAGGTGTAAGGGCTACGTCGAATTTTATTTATTTCGCAAATATGTTTTTTATTAATATTTATTATAATAATTAATAGTACGAAATTATTATTATTATAAAATATATATATTGTGTAACTTTTTGTTATATTTTATAGAAATATTTTTGTTTATTTTAAAATATTAATAAAATGTTATTTGTGATATTTAAAGAAAAAGAAAAAGAGTGTCGGGTAGTAGTATCTAAAAAATTTAGCATAAAATAATTCAAATTAAATTTGTATTAAATTTATGACAAAACAACTGTTATAATATATAATATATCGATAATAATAATTAATAAAATATACGGAAATCTTGCATCGGAACGGAGTGTCTCGTTTATCTCAAATATATAACTTTCAGATTCTTATTCATAAATAGTTATTTACATTTCTTAGTATCTTTTTTTCCTTTCACGAATCGATTTAGACCGGTTTCACCAACGACTTTTTAAATCGAGAATATTATTGAATCTTAGCTCAAGAGAGGAGCGAATAAGTTGGCCTTTTATTTCATTCTCATAAAAGAAAAAAAAACTAGTGTTTCTTCATGTGTATAATTTTTTTTATAGGCAATCACTCGAGATTGATATTGATTCAGCTTCTTGAAAAATCTTGGAAGTTAAAAGATCAGTGAAATATTAAACGTAATTATTTTGTAACCACTTGTTTTTTATGACTGTTTATTTATTTTTAATGTAATCTAAATAAGTTGAATGAAACAAAGTAGAAACTTCTTATAAAATAACTTATATTGTTAGCATACAAGTAGTAATATTAAAATCAGACATTATTTTATTTAGAAAACGTATTATTTAAAAAATATTTTAAATTATATACATAAAATGAATATTATTGTTACCTAGACACATTGCCTTAATATACAGAAGCCTGACCATGAGTTTTTTTTTTGTATCCGTACATTAAAGTTCTTCATTGTGCATGGCTTAATTAGACAGATAAATAATTGAAGACATACGAAAATATCTTCTGATCATATGTTTTATTTACACCTTTTGTTCACGCTAAACTCGAATTAAGTTTTACGTAAGCGATGTAATGTATAGGCCACGTAGATGCTTGTTGATATGTTTACACTTCCGTAAATAAAGAATGATTAATTATTATCAACGTCTAGTGCATAGTGCTATTGATTCTGACATTCTTATTTATGTATGTGTACACCGTAGCCTTAAATTAATTTTAATGAAACTATTGACAATTATCGAAAGGTACTTACTTATACTATATACTCCTTTCTAATCATTTACATTTAAATTTATAATTTCATCGATTGATAAATTAATAAGTATACAATGTACACGGAAGTTATACATCATACAGAATCGCTTTGATTTTTTATATTCATGATTTCATTATGTAGATAGATAATAATATTTCATCTAACTGAAACAACAAGAAGTATGCTAGATAAATGGAAGCTATTTAATAGCTTGGACCTTGTTATTAATTACTTCATTTATCAATGTTTATAAATGGTTATTTTTTTTATTAATAAATCAACGAGTATCCAATACTGTAGAAGCAAACCAATCATTACTGTTTTTTGATGGGATTTTTTATTATTATTTACTGTATGCTCTTATATTTTATATAAGATACACATATATTCAAAATATTGCAAAATTTAAATATCCCTCATATAATGTAAATGAACTATGATTGATGATGACAATTTAACCAAAACTATATATATACTACATACACATAACTATAAAAAAATAATGAATTTATAAATCTAAATAATGATCAGAAAATATACCTATCTTATTTGGAATGATAGCCAAATATGCAAAACAAGTATGCTCTATACTCATATAAGGGTGATTCAAGATTAAAACAACACCTGAATATCTCCTTTGTTTACAATCATATTAAAAAATTTCAAAAGAGAAAAGTGTACTACTGGTGGAATTAAATAGTTGTAAACGATTTCTCAAAGTCCTTTTTTTATGAGATTTAAAAATCAAATTTGTTTTTTAAATGAAACTACTTATTTTAAGCCATATATATTATTCTAAAAAAGGCAACTACTTTAATTAATTATAATAATACTATTAATTAATTATCATAATACTAATTAGTATTAATTAACATATAATGCATGTAACTAATAAAAAATTTAGCATACATGAAAGATCATGATATAAAGAATATAGTAATGTAATAAATGTAAATATTGTATAATTATATATGTTCATTGATTTCTTAATAATTATGAAATATCATCTAAAAGTATATTAAATAAAATGCATTATGCATTTCAATGTAACTTGATAAGTCACCAATAAATAGTGTTTAATTTATTTACGTAAAAATCTACAAATTTGTTAAAATAATTATAACATTCCTATTATATAACAATTATGTTCTCTATACTAGTAATGATTGGAAAAGTAAAAACACCGCAGCAATATATCGTTGCGCCATCTGATTTCAAAGATGTAGAATTAAAATTGTAGTCAGTTTTGTTCACAGATGCTTTGAAGCCTCTAATCTGCCCTACATATTTTAGTATTTGTCATCGAGAGGAAGTTGGTTGTTGCTTTTTTAATTTATATAATATATCGTATAAAATTAAGCCAATAATGATAAAATTTAATGGCAAAAATGATATTTAATCATAATATAGATTAAACTTTTTCCATTATATACGTTTAATCGTTTTTTGATAATATCATATATATATATATATATATATAACAAGGGGAAATTACAAGTGAAGATTAAGCAATAAAAGCAATGTTACACACACACAACCGACGAATTAATAAATTCTAGTTTGATTTGGTATGTTACATATTTTATATTTATGATTGTTATTAAATAATAACGTTTAAAATAATAAAGAAAAAATGAAAGTATGTACAAATTAGATGGTACAATGCTTATGCTTTAAATATTCCAATAAATTGATATCTAATTCCATACATTTAAAAAAAGTCATGAATCTATTAATGTTAATAATTATTAAGATTATCAATCTTACAAATCATTAATAAAAATACTAATTTTGTTAATAATTTAGCAAAATAGTGAATAAAGGTTAAAATTAGTACAAACACATAGAAATGATGATGGAGTTGAGTCATAGTCTAACCCTCAATGAGGATGCTCTTGATCAGATTCCTGAAGCTAAAAGACCAGTTTTTATATTTGAATGGTTACGTTTTCTGGATAAAGTTTTAGTTGCTGCACAAAAGGTAATATTTAATCATTTCTAATTTTTAAGTATATATCATTTTTCAAGGATATTGACATTATGTTTCTTATATGTGAAACTAAAGAGTGACATAAAAGGATGCCAACAAAAATTGGTAGAACAATTGACTAAACACATGCAAGGTGCACCTGGACCTCCCACACGACGTCTTATTGCAAGATGTCTTGCTACTTTATTTAGTGTAGGTGATACGTTCCTTCTATTTGATACCGTTAATAAGTGTAATGATATTCTTAAAAATAAAGATGACTCGCCAAGTTTCTTACCGACAAAATTGTAAGTGAAAAAACTAAAACCCTTTTTTTTGTAGAATTTATTGCTTAATCATTAGTTAATAAATTATTATTCTTTAGAGCTGCGATATGTTGTGTCGGATGTATGTATGAAAAATTAGGAAGAATGATGGGAAGATCCTATGAAGAAACTGTACAAATTCTAATAAAATCTTTACGTTCTGCAGAATCACAAACGCGAATAGAAATTATGCATACTTTAGAAAAGGTAAATATAACGAAAAATAAAATAAATTGATGTTAGACTAAATTAAATTACATAAGTATAATGCCAAATTATATTAATTTTATTATTTTTTAGGTATGTGCTGGTATGGGATCTGCAATAACAAATGTTCACAAAGAAATATATAAAGTTTCTAGACATTATTTAACTGATAGGGTAATGGCTGTTAGGTGTGCTGCTGCAAAGGTATATCTTTAGCGAAGTATTGTTTTATTTTCATTTGTGTATATATTGCACTTAAAACAAATTGTTTTACCTAAAAGTTACATACTCTTTTTACAGTGCTTATTAGAAATGTTAAATCATGCACTATTCCTTTGTACAACAGAGATAGAAAGTGTAGCAACATTGTGTTTTCGAGCATTTGAAGGCTCAAATTATGAAGTAAGATGCGCTGTAGCCAAATTATTAGGCTCATTGGTGGCAATGACACAAATTCCAACTCCTAAAGGAAAAAATCTAGCAGGTAATATCTTTTATAAACAATTAAACGGTTATAATATGTTGAAAAAGTATGGATTTAGTTTTATACTTTTTTATGATATTGCAGTTATACAAAACAAAGGTGGTAAACAAACATCTTTGGAAGAAGTGTTAAATATTTTAATGTCAGGCTTTTTGAGAGGTGGAGTTGGTTTCTTAAAAGGTACTGGTGAAATAATCAAAGGTACTTCCAGTATAAATAGAGAAGTTCGAGTCGGTGTCACTCATGTAAGTCAGAATTTCTAATTTGCCTCTAAAAACTTTAAATAAATTTTTAATATACATAAAATAATTTCATTTCAATAATTAATCGTATATTTATATTCACAGGCATATGTTGTATTTGTTCAAATGTTAGGAGGTACATGGTTAGAACGAAATATCGGTGTATTAGTAGCACATGTATTAGATCTCGTAACTAATCCAAAAGCAGCTAATTCGCATGTTGATGCAGTATATTCGAGAAAATGTGTTAATTTTATATTACATGGTACAATAGGAAAATTACTCAGTGAAGGAGCTCAAGCTGCTGCTTGTAAAGAAATAGCACATATAATATTGAAACAGATGAATTCAATTGGTAATGTTAATTATTATAAGTATTTGATTAATTACTGCTATATAAATAAGTCCATATATAATAACCAATATATACTTTCCACAGATTTTAGTCCAGAAAATGCTAAAGACTGCAATCAAGAAACATTATTCAGTCAACATTTACTAGTATGCGCACTTCAAGAAATGGGAAATTTAATATTAGGATTGGGTACAACAGCATCCAATTTATTATCTGATCAATCTTTGAGTACGTATGTGTACTTAGAATTATTGATATGTAAATGTGTTGTTAATTTAAAAAATTTATATTATATATGTATATATAGGTTTAACGGATACAATCATGGCTGTTTTAATACATCCATGTCAAGCAGCAAGACTTGCAGCTTCTTGGTGCTTGCGTTGCATTTGTGTCGCTGTCCCCAGTCAAATTACACCTTTAATTGATAGATGCGTAGAGGGTATTGAAAATATGCGAAGTTCACCTGAGGCTATTGCTGGTTATAGTAGTGCACTTGCTGCTGTTTTAGGGAGTGTTCGTTTTTCACCACTTGGTGTGCCACATACAAAGGGAAAAGTAATTTTATATTCAATACATTTAATAACACATGCTGTATTATTTATATGATGGAATTATGTATCAAAAGTAAAATTATATTTCCATTAATATGCGTGTAACATATTTTAGATAATTTTCAATACAGCAGAGGAACTTTTAAGAAGTGCAAGTCAAAATAGTCGTTTGTCACTAAATAGAACCCACGCTGGCTGGCTTTTGATTGGAGCTATAATGACACTAGGTATATAATCAATATCAACGATTATAAATAATTTTCTAAGACAATTTATAGATTTTTAACAAATTTTACATTTTTGGTTATTTATATTATGTTTAATAGGTACAGCAGTGGTTAAAGGTTTACTACCAAGAATGTTACTTTTATGGAGGAACTCTTTTCCACGTTCAAATAAAGAATTAGAAAGTGAAAAAGCACGTGGTGATGCATTTACTTGGCAAGTAACATTAGAAGGTCGAGCAGGTGCTTTATCTGCTATGCATAGCTTTTTATTACATTGTTCAGAACTCTTAAACGACGATATTACAAGACGACTTTTAACGCCAATTGAATCGGCGCTTGCAATGTTAACAAAGTAAATATCTGAATATTCTACTTTTATGGTTGCAAATTTATAGAGACAATTTTGTTTTATAAAAATATTATTCACAGTCTATCTACAGTGCTTAAAAATTACGGGCAGCAATTAAAGGCCCCTGCTGCTATGGTCCGTTTACGTTTATATGAAACTTTATTATTGTTGCCACCTCAAACTTTTGAAGGTAGACATAAAATATTAATTTTACTTTAAAACTTATAGTTAAAGCATACATAAGAACATATTAATTAATTAAATATATTATACATAGGTTCTTATACTCATCTTTTAAGAATGTTAGTATCAGAATTTACACTGACGGAAAATCCTGGGAATACGACAACATCTTTATTACGTACTGTTTGTCATGCTAATGATTCCGTCATTCTTGGTACATGGCTACAAGAAACGGATCATCGTATGATTGAAGATCAAGTAAGTGTAATATATTGGATTTTTACAAAATGCTATAATATTATTTATAATTTTTACAATTCTTTTCATTTAAAAAATATATACAGTACAATCTTAAATATAAGTAGTTTATATGTATTGTAAATGAAACTGTTATATTTGCTTATGAATTGAAGTATTAATAAGAGAAATAATTGCAAGTTAATTAAATATTACTGTGATTTGTGTCCAGTTGGAATCAAACAGAAGGGCAGATTTGGATCATGTGAGTAATATGTCTTGCAAGATGTATCTATATGATTATTACATCAGGATTTTATGTTCGTAAATTATTATCCATTCTACAACTTTTTTGTTAATTTCATCAAACTATTTATTTCAATTAAAGCATTAAAACGCTTGATAAGTTATATAATTTATTTCTTTATTGCGTTATTCACATGCTTTAGATCTCATAATTTCTTGTAATTTCTCTTTATATCTTCCTTTTTGTTTTGAAAATAATTATGTACAAAATATTTTATAATACAATCCAAGGATTTTACATTATTAAGATTTTGCTATTATTTTAGTTGCAACCCAATAGTGCTGCAGGGTCTGGAGCATTAGAACATAACTCTTGTTGTTTATATCGTCCAGTTCCTCATGTGAGTAAATATAACTATTATAAATATCAATATTTATATGATAATGGATGTTATACATATGTCAAGAATACTTACTCATAATGCATTATGTACAGGATGAAATAGTCCCTGGACCTTTGCCTTTGGGAGTAGCAGTTATTGATCTTTCTATTTCTCTCTTTGGACAAATCTTCCCTCGTGTAGCAAATAAACATAGATTACAAATGCTAGATCATTTCAGTGAATGTATAAAGCATACAAAATCTGGTAGGCAAGAAGCCATACAAATGAATGTTTTTACGGCTGTATTAAGTGGTTTAAAAGGACTCAATGAAGCAAAGACTGGCTTTGGACAAGAAGATGTTAAAAAATCAGCGACTAATCTTATTATAGTAAAGTTTTACAACTTTTAAATATTTTGTTTCTGAAAGATTTTATTTACTTCAAAATACTCCTTAATATATTCTTTTATAATGTAGAGTACACTTGTAAGCAGTAACTCTATCTTACGATGGGCTGCAGGAGAAGCTGTTGGAAGAATGGCACAAGTTATTTCAGATCCTAAATTCACAGCAGAATTAGCACAAACCAGTTTTGATCGATTAAAGTCTGCTCGTGATGTTGCAAGTAGAACAGGGCATTCTTTAGCATTAGGTTGCCTTCATAAATATGTTGGAGGAATGGGTTCCAGTCAACATCTCAATACTAGCGTTAGCATATTACTTGCTCTTGCACAAGATAATTCATCTCCTGTAGTGCAGGCAAGACATGACTAAATACTTTTATGTTCAATATAGTTATAAGTCTCTGATAATATTAATTAATTTCTGATTAGGTATGGGCATTACATGCTCTTGCCCTTATAGCTGATTCAGGTGGACCAATGTTCCGAGGTTACGTGGAACCTACATTATCTTTGGCATTAACTCTTCTTCTAAATGTTCCTCAATCTTATATTGATGTACATCAATGTATAGGAAAAGTATTGTCTGCTCTTATTACAACAATAGGACCAGAATTACAAGGTAAATTGTGTTAATCAAGAAATTAAATTTTATAAAAGTTAGTATGTTATACTACTCGAATCCGCAAAAGGTAGAGGAAATAGACATATATTAGGTTGTCCCATAAGTTCTATCCGTGCGACACTATGTATGACTTCCAGCCGGCTATGTTCTTAGAAAGTAATAGAGCAGAACGGTTCATATATAACATAGTAAATCAACCTTAAAAAAACAAATATCGTCTATTGAAGTCGTATAAAAAAAAAGGAATGAACTTATGGGACAACTTAATATATAGATCAGAATATATTTTTTATATAAAATAATTTCCAGGGAATACTACAACGATTTGCATGGCTCGATCATCGTTTTTATGCGCTTGTGCTATTATGCAAGATCATCAAGATCCACTTGTACAAGCTGAAGCTACAGGATGTCTTCAACAATTACATTTATTTGCACCTAGACACGTCAATTTATCTTCTCTTGTTCCTACATTATGCGTAAGTAATTTTAAAATAATTTCACACAAAATTGTATACTATAGTATTTTTATTTTTGTACAATAAAGTATCTTTTTTTAGCGAACCTTATCAAGCAATCACTTACTTTTGCGTAAAGCAGCTATATCGTGTCTTCGTCAACTTGTTCAACGTGAAGCAAAAGAAGTTTGTGAACATGCAATGACACTAGCAAATGAAAGTAGAGGTACTAATGTAGTAGAAGGACTTGTTATAACAGAAACAGGGCTTCCAGGAGTTTTATTTAGTATGCTAGACACAGAAACAGATAGCAAATTAATTAAAGATATACATGATACATTAACGAGTATGTTACAAATATTAGCTGCTGATAATTTGTCTCAGTGGTTATCACTTTGTAAGGATGTACTGACAATTGCATCAGGTAATGCATCTAATATGTAACATTAATAATATGTAGCTTATATGCTAAGAATCAATAAATTTTTAATAAAAAAATATTAATCATTAAGAATCAAGTACAACTGAAGAAGGGAATATTGCAAATATCGAAGACAGTACAGCAGATAATGAAAATACTGATGTAGAAGGAGATGATGATCAAGCAGAGTTTCATGCTGATGAATCTACAAAACAACGACCATCCATAACTCCTCGATGGCCAACAAGAGTTTTTGCTGCTCAATGTGTAAGACGTATAGTAGCTGCTTGTGTAAATAATAAGCAAGCTCATTTTGATCTTGCATTAGCTAAAGAAATGCAATTATCTAAAGGAAAAGGTATATTTAATACATAATATAATAATGTTATATTAAAATTGTATCTTTGTTTTTTTTAAATATCTCTATTTTCTAATTTTAGGTGATTTCTTAGTATTACATCTCTCTGACTTGGTACGAATGGCATTTATGGCTGCAACTAGTGATTGTGACCCATTACGTCTTGAAGGTCTTAAAACATTACAAGAAATTATTGATAAGTTTGCTAAAGTTCCTGAACCAGAATTTCCTGGACATCTTTTACTTGAACAATTCCAAGCACAAGTAATTATATTTTTTTGTATTATATATAACATTTATTTGTGTTTATGATTAGTGTAATGTGTATTTAATTGCATAGGTAGGTGCTGCATTGAGACCAGCATTTTCTACAGAAACAGCATCTCATGTAACAGCTGCTGCTTGCGAAGCTTGCAGTGCTTGGATTGGAAGTGGTGTTGCTAGAGATTTAAATGACTTAAGAAGAGTACATCAGTTGCTTGTTTCTTCATTAGAAAAGTTGAGAGAAGGCCATACACGTCCACAGCTATACAATGAAAGTCTGTCTACTCTTGAACGTCTAGCGATTTTAAAGGCATGGGCAGAGGTATGGCCCAACATAGTTACTCAATTATTTATAAAAATTATGAAAATATTTAGTGATTTGCAAGACAAAAATATATACTTTAAAATCTTTTACAGGTATATGTAGTTGCTATGATTAAGGATGGTACAGCATTAAATAGTTATAATACGTCAATTACTAATATAAATCGAGCAGACGATAGCACTGGTAAAGAATTTGGAGAATTCGAATTTCAAAATGAAAGTTTGTTAAGTTTAGTACAACCTGAGCTTTTAAGTTTGAGTCAATATTGGTTAGCTGCTTTGAGAGATCATGCTTTACTTTCATTACCTCCAGGTAACATAAGTGATTTTTTTGATTTCTTAACAACATTAGACAAAATTGTTAAATAGTATAATATATTATTGTAGAATTCTCCAGCCAGTTACCACACGACGGTGGGGCTTTTTATACGACAGATACAATGGAATCTGCTCGTCCTCATTATGCAGAATCATGGGCCCCAATACTTCACGCTGCTGCTTTATGGCTTAACGCAAAAGGATTTGGAATGTCAAATACAAATGATGAAACAAAAACTTCAAATGTTTCTAGTAATAATTTAAACAACAACAATAACAATAGTAATAATAATAATATTTCAACTAGGATTGATACAAATGTTGAACGTTTCCACCTACTTTTTGGTGAGTGTTCGTAAACATGTCAAAACGTTTTTAAAACTAATATTGTGCATAAATCACTTATTTTCATATTATAGGAATATGTATGGAAGCATTGTGTAGTCCACGTTCATCTGAGTCTACACAAAATATAGAAACATGTTTAAATGCTTTATATACCTTACTTGATTCTGTATGGGCTCGTAAAATTTTAATTACAGACAAATCATTATCTATTGAATTGTGTAATGTTTTACATAGGTATGTACATACATGTAACTAATGAATTACAAATTCTAAATAGATACTTTATATATTTACTTAAATATAATTTTTTTAAGATTACTTTTAACAAGAGGAAATTATATTATTCAAATGATAACAATGGAAGTTTTAAAACAAGTAATGAAAGCAGCTCAAGAAGATTTGACAGAAAAAAAGAAAGAAAAACAAAAAGGTATGAAAATATATGTATTTATGTATAAACAATCATTAATAAATATTATTTATATCACAAATATGTTCAACAGAATTATCACCAACAAACGAAGAAAATAACGAAAAAGTAGAATTTGACTTATTGGGTGAAGGAGGAGAAACAGGAGAACTTATACCAGGCAAATCATTAGTCTTTGCCTTGTTAGAAGTATGTTTGTGCTTATTAGTTCGTCAGATACCGGCATTAAATCCTAATCCAGGTAGTGCGACTGCTATTTTATCTCAAAAAGGTTATATACCAACAGAAGAAAGTGGAAAACTTATTGCTTCTGCTTTAAATATAATGGAATCACTTCCAGTACTTTGCTCACCACAAGGTACAACTTACTTGCATTCTATTATTATAAAATATAATATATAGACATAAAGATATATTTTCCAAGTATATTGATTGATATTACTTTTTTCTTAGGTGCTATAGCAATTTTACCAACTTTATTATACTTGGCAACAGGTGTAATAAGAGAAACAGCAGTACGAGTTGATAATGATTTTGGAAAACTAGGTTCAGAAACACCTGTTCATGCAGCATTGCATTGCGTTAAAAGTCTTACTACTAACAAGTATGCAAAAGATGATAGAAGCCAAACTCAGTGGACGGGACTATTACAAAGTGCTTTAGCAAAAGTTATTGATCTTGCTAAAACAGGTATTCTGTGCATGTATATATGTATATTCAAATAGAACAATTCATTATTTTAACAAATATATTTATGTATATATAATATAAATATTTTTATATATTATAGGTAATGATGAAACAAAAATGGATGAAGTGGCGATGATGTTAAGTATTGCTGTATTTGTCCTACATGCATTACCAGATGTTATCAGTGCACCAAATTTACAGTTTCCTTGTATAAATCATTTTAGACATGCTTTTCAGTCAGAGAATATGCTAGTGAGTAAAAAAACAAAAGAATATATTCAAAAGAGGTCTTAGAGTTGAATAATTTTTAAATCTTACATATTTTTCAGGTTAAATTAAAGTGTGTTCAGACCTTGAGAACGATATTCTTACATCCAGAACGTATGATAAGTACTCCCTATATTCATTCATTGGCACCTAGATTAGTGGAATATTTATATAGTGATAAGAGTAAACAAGTTACGAACGAATTAGAACTTTCTTTCACATTGGAATGTATCAGTACAGTAGAAGCTCTTATAGGATTGGCTGAATTATCTAATCGTATGTATGATAAAATATTAAATTTAATATTATTTATTAAATTATGATTAAATATTGATAAGATATAAATGTTACATTGCATTCAGGAGATCTCTTGCAAGGTGTGTGAAATAAACTTTTGTACACACAAAATACACACACTAAATTAATAGATAATAATTTGATTAATCTTTTAATCTAATCTATATTTTAATTATCAGGTATACAAATGTTGACATTATTAGTTCCAATTCTAATCAATTATCTCTTGGAAGGTGATCAACTTCAAAATGCTTCCAAATATCAAATAACATTACATCAGCAAAGTTTTCAATGGCTAAATAAAATAGGACCAAAATATCCACAGGTATTTTACATATTGAATGAAATGATATTTTATGTGTATGTATAGGGGGGAGGGGAAAGCACCTTACTTAGTAAATTATTTTTACCTTTCGATTTTATATAAATGAAATTTCGATTGTAGGAATTTAAAACATTAATGTCTCAATCGGCGGAGTTAAAAACTAAATTGGAAAATGCGGTAAGATCCAGTCACCAACAAGCATTAAGGCACTCTAGGCCTATAGAACCTGTAAAACATCAATTCAAGATGTCCACACCTTCTATAAAATTAAAAACAGATTTTTCTAATTTTAACTAGCTATAATAGTATAATCAGGAGTTTCATAAATGATGATCATATAATATCTTTTAATCTTTTAACATGTTATCTCCACACACGGTATAGAACAAATGTGATAATATAATTAGCTCTTAAAACTGGATAACTAATTGACAAGCAAAAAAATGAAATATCATCCAGTTATTTCTTTGATACATCTATGATATACTGATATCTCACTTACTATAAAATTTTAGATAAATTCTTCCAACATAATTTTTTTCTTAGTAAGATTCATGTGTGATTGTACTTAGATAAAAATAATATCAGTTTATAGAAATTTGAAAATTATACAAGAGACGATTGGAAAAATAAATTCAAACTTTGATATCTGGCATTTGTCCAATACATTTGTTTGTGACATCAACGTGATGCCACCGAATGGCATAATATGTTGATATATCTAGAATATATTCTATTCATTCAATTAAATTACATAAACCATTGGATTTTTTGTTGTAGAAGTATATATTACTTTTAAAGTTTACTATATTATACCTATCAATAGGATTAATTCTTATATTAATTTTTTCCAGTCTTCTCTTCCGAATTCAATAATATTCTACATTAGAAATGAATTGTATATATTAGGTATAGAAAAATTATCTTTTATATCTAGAGAGTAAATATTAATTTACTGTATAACATGATATCTCTGAATTTATAATTTTATCTTATGATTCAAACTTACAACGTCTACTTGTGTGTCGTGAAAAAATAATAGTAAAAGCACAAGAAGAGATAGAATATAGAATATTTGTAAGGAAAAAAAAATAAAAGAAAACATGAAAATATTATAATATTATGTAACACTTCGTCTTGAAAACTAATGACCAATATCATGACTATTGTTCGTGTATTTTCACAACTGATATACGTATTAATGTTTTGATATATTTATTTATTTAGAATTCCTATGAAATAAAAATCATGATTAGTGGATTTTGTAATAATGTCAAATTAAATTATTTAATAATATGTGACAGGATTTATATAACAGAACTTTTACTTTTATTAAATATCTATGTATATATTATACATCTATGTAAACCAAAAAATAATCAATGTTCTTGTATTGTGTATAAATTAATGTCATTACAAAATGGCAAATATTTACTGATATTGATTATTTACAAAAAAAAAGAAAAATGTAGTAAATTAATAACAATAATTATCTAATAATATGTAATTTTTTCTTTTAAATGTGACACTAATATAGGTAATTCTAGATGTGTAATACGAGAAAACAAGAATTACGTTTAATTTTTATCTATGCACTTGAGAACAAATTAAGAAATTCTGTAATAATAGTATGAAACATAAAATATAGTCAAAGTAATTTTCACAAAAAAGTCAATTGATAATAAAGAAAATATTACTGATATATCATTATTTACTTAAATTTACAGTGCATTTTGAAATAATCATATTATTGTTTGATATTACGTGTAAAAAGGCACGAATAACAAAAAATTTTATTAGAAAGAATATTAATATAATACAAGAATAGAGGAATTATTATTGAAAATAAATTTGTAGTTGCGTGAACCATAATGAAAGTAATTGTATAATTGTTAGAAGTTCTACTATTTTTTATATTATCATTTAAAATTAAGGGGAAGACGAAAACACAAATATGTAGATTTTACATTACAATAAAGTTCCAAAAAATTCTTTAAGTGTAATCTTTAATTATGTTTACGCAATAAAACATTATTTTATGAAATTGTAATTTTGTATTATATGATTATAGTTTTAGTTAGTACTCTGAAATAAAAAATACATAAATATGATATGTAACAATTTTAGTTTAATACAGTATACTTCGAATACCAAGCTATAAAATATTATTTTTAGGTGCGCATAAAATTTTTCTCCAGATAAACACAAACACGTTTACTGTTATGTAATATATGTATGTATATATACTCAATACGTACAGATATAAGATATCTCATAGCCTTGTATCATTCAGCGTTTAACTCTTGTACGGGCAACACGTAATTGTTTATTCTTCCAAATTTTATAATTTACACATATATATATATATAATTTAAATATATTGTTAAAAAATGGTAAAAGCAAAAAGATTTGTGGTCGTTAAACATTTTGAAGGTGAACCAAAGCCATCGGATTTGAAATTAATAGAAGAAGATTTACCATCGATTTCCGATGGCGGTATGTTGCACAGATCTATTATTATCGATTAGACAACTCATCATGATTCGTCAAAATCGAGATTTATATGTAAATAAAAGAGTGAGATATATATATATCTATTGATATAATTATGATAGACATAGTAGTCCGGTCAATTTAGACATTTGAAGTTACAAAAATTGCCGGAAAGCCAAATTTTGGTGGAGAGCTGTAGTTTACCATTACAAATAAAGTCTGAAAAATCCCCATCGATTCTATGTGTGCGTTAAAAGTTATTCAAGGTCAAAGGTCGAAATTTTAGGTTTTTTGGATTTTGCTCAAAAACRGTAAGTTTTATCAAAAAAAACTTCAAACCAAAGTTGTAGATCTTAAAATTCTCTACAAAAATGGTCTTAACGATTTCTTTCCTAAGAGTTCCCATTCCTGAGATATCGCGATTCTAA